GATGAAAAGACCCCCACACACACCAAAAAAAATCATGTCCTAGGGCCAGGGGTGTGACTCTAATAAAATGCTTGCCTGGCATGTGCCACCCCACCCACCCCTAAAAAAATTGCCAGGAATGATACATGTAATCCCAGCTACTTAGACTGGGGCAGAAAGATTCCAAGTTCAAGGCCAGCCTGGGCAGCCGAGTGAGATCCTGACTAAAAGTTTTTGAAGAATCGGGATGGAGCAGGGTGTCTGTCTAGTTTGCAGAGGCCTTAGCTTTCATCCTCAGTACTTGAAAAGCGCACACACAACAGCTCAACCCTGTGTACTGGACCAGGTGGTAAAAACCTCCCCGGACTACAAGCTGAGAGGTGGCGTTTGTCCCCCAGACTCAGCGACCGTTTTAGAGCTGCCATTTGGGGTGGGTTGCTTTGGCTCCTTTGGTTTTTCTTCAGGAAAAGCAGGTCGATGATGGTCAGAACCGTGTTAAAGGTCTCTGCTTTCTGTTAAGCTGGGAGTGAATGGGCCCTGAAATGAGCAGGAAGCTTTGAAGACAGGGGCAGGAGCACCAAGAGACTTAGCTAAGGCCTCCGTGGTGCTGGGGGCCAGGTGGGGCTCGGGAGAGGGTTTCTGGGTAGTCTGCCTCGTTGAATCTGGTTCTGGGGCCCGAGGGACTCGGGTAAGGACCCTGGGGGTTTGGTCTTGTGGAAAGGGCAGGGCCTTCTGACATGGTTCTCTTCCTCCATCAGGCTTCATTAATGTCCACCTCAGAAAAGACTTTGTGTCAGAGCGGTTGTCCCATCTTCTAGTGAACGGGGTTCACCTGCCTGCCCTGGGGAAGAATAAAAAGGTACGTGTGTGACCCTCAACACGAGTGCGTGGAAATGCCCCGGGGGAAAGGGTCTTCGCTTCCCAATTACGAACACAGTTGTCAAATCACATTTCTAATGGGCCTGTGGGGCTCTCTCCACTTCATTATGACAGCGGAGGTAGAGAAGGACATGTACGCAGGTATAACCCAAAGAGACGGTGAGGGTATGCGTGAATCTGGTCAGCTACTGACGTAGACGTAGATGACCAAGAAAACCCAGCACACGTGAATTGCAGCTGCCGCTGCCTGCTCACATTCGATACATCATTAATCGGTGCTAATGAAGTGGTGATGCCAGGCCTGAGGATCTTTCTCTCCCCTCTCCGTGCAGGTTGTGGTTGACTTCTCCTCTCCCAACATAGCCAAGGAGATGCACGTGGGCCACCTGAGGTCCACCATCATCGGGGAGAGCGTGGCCCGCCTCTTTGAGTTTGCGGGCTACGACGTGCTGAGGTAGGTGTGCGCTTACTGCTGCCCACGGGCACCCTGCCCGCCCGGCAGATTCGCGCCAGGCCCTTGCCATGTGTCCTTTCCTTTCCTACCGTTCATAGACTGGAATGGGGTGGGGGTAAGTCCCCATTCCTCTCTGTGTCCCTAGTGGGGCAGGGGCAGGCCGAGACAGACTATTGGGACACGATGGCCCTGCAGGAAATCGGGGTTTCTTCTGGCTAGTAGAGAGAGATGGCGTGGCCACAGGCTCGGTAAGCAGGTCGCTGTCCACTTGAATTCATCTGGCATTTGACAAAATGAGAAAGGAATCACATCCATTAATAACATTTGGGCCAGATGCTGTGGCTCAGGCCACAGGAAGCAAAGACTGGACAACCATAATCTGAAGCTAGCTCAAGTCAAAACCGGGAAGGCCCTATCAAAGAACAGTGCAGACACGCTGACCCGTGTCTATTCCAGCTACTCTGGAAGTGACCTAGGCAAAGAGCAAGAGACTCCAGCGGGCGCTGTTGGACCACACCTATCACTGTAGCCACTCTGGAGGCTCACAATTCAAAGCCGGCCTGGGCGCTGTCCCTCAGCTCAAGCGAGCGCTCTACCACTTGAGCCACAGCATCACTTCTTGTTTTCTGGCAGTTCATTGGAGATAAGTCTCATGGACTTTTCCTGCCTGGGCTGGCTTTGAACTGTGATCCTCAGATCTCAGCCTCCTGTGTAACAAGGATGACAGGCGTGAGCCACCAGCGCCTGGAACCAAAGATTCTTACTTATGTCTTCTCAAAAAAAAGCCAGAAGTGGAGCTGCTGACTGCGTGTGATCTTTAGCTGTGTCATTGTGCTTTGGTGTCAGGTTGAACCACGTGGGAGACTGGGGGACCCAGTTTGGCATGCTCATCGCCCACCTGCAGGATAAGTTCCCAGACTACCTCACAGTGTCGCCTCCCATTGGAGATCTCCAGGCCTTCTACAAGGTGTGTCACCTTCGTTAGTAGCATACCGTTTGTTACCATTCTGTGTCTTTGTCAGGGGTGGTGGCTCATGCCTTTAATCCTATTTTGTCAGGGGTGGTGGCTCATGCCTTTAATCCTAGCTGCAGCCTGGACAGGCAAGACTGAGACGTTTTTTGGCCAGTCCTGTGGCTTGAACTCAGGGCAGTGACCCTGAGCTTCTTTACTGAAGGCTAGCGCTCTACCATTTGAGACACAGCACCACTTCCAGCTTTTTCTGTTTGTTTGTTTAGTACTGAGTAGTGGAACCCAGCTCCATGCATGTGTTAGGCAAGCAGTCTACCACGAAGCCACATTCCCAACCCAGGACTGTGATACTCTTACCTCCAATCACTGGAACTAGAGCTGTGGGTCCGTGGTAGAGCGCTAGCCTTAAGCAGGAAGGCTCAGGGTCAGCACTACAGTGTAAAAGGAAAGAACTCTGTGTCTCCTTAGGCTGTTAGGAATAGTATCGGACATCTACTACACAGAGTTACGTTGTGGCTCTGCTACACAGACATGTGCTTTCTTATTTTACTATTTTCTTTTCATGCTGATCCTGGGGCTTGAACTCAGGGCTTGTGCACTGTTCTTGAGCTTGGTGGTTTGATGGAGATCAAAATGTCATGGACTTTTCTTGCCTCAACTGGCCTTTGAACCATGATCCTCAGATCGCAGCCTCCTGAGTAGCTAGGATGACAAGCATGAGCTGCTAGTGCCCAGCAGAGGTGGTTTCTTGAACATCGCAAAACACGGAAATGTTTTTACACACATGTGCCTCCCAGGTAGCTAGTGAAACTATGTCACGCACGTGGAAACAAAGCCACGTTACTGAGCCCTCAGAGGTGGGCTCTGCCATCCAGGTCCATCTGTGTGACTGCCTAGCAACCGCCCTGTGGGCCTCTGTACCCACGGCCCCCACACTGAGCTCCTCCACTCCAGGCCACACCATTAAGGGCGATCAACCACCCCGGGCCCCACACGCTAGGCAGAAGCTCACCAGCTCACCACAGAGCCGCTTCCCCAGCCATTAGTACGTTTTTATTGGTTTTTTGGTTTTGGGGGGTTTTTTGGTGCTTGCCCTGGGGCTTGAACTCAGGGCCTGAGCACAGTCCCTGAGTTGTTTGTTTTGATAGATCCTGCCAAGTTGGTGATACACCCCTTTCAGCCCCAAATCCCCTTAACCTGTGGCAGCATCCTTGGCTACGATGTAGAGGGAGTGTTCTGTGTGTGTGTGTGTGTGTGTGCGCGCGCGCGTGTGCGTGCATGCCAGTGTCCAGAAGTGAGCAGATGCCGTTTCTGGAAGAGTGGGATTGGGTCTTAAGTTCAAACCTCACTCCTTTTACAACACAGGAGTCTAAGAAGAGGTTTGATAGTGAAGAAGACTTTAAGAAGCGCGCGTACCAGTGTGTGGTTCTGCTGCAGAGTAAAAACCCGGACATAATTAAAGCCTGGAGCCTCATCTGTGACGTGTCCCGTGCGGGTGAGTTTCTGGAACATTCAATCAGCTGTGTGTCATTTTCTTGAGCCTTTATGTTTCTTTATCATGGTGTGCTAAGGATCAAACCTGAATGCTGTGCACATGATTCACAGTTGAACCACGTCCCTAAACTTGAGTGTGAGCAGGAAGATTTTGCTTAAGTGTTTTGAAATGAACAGCTAAGAAAGGTCAAGTGTGGGCATACCTTAGTGACACCGGAGGATTTCTTTATTGGCTTTCCACAAATGTACAGAGTGTGTCTGCCAGCCCCGCCCCCCATCACCCTCCCCCCACGGAAAACAGTGCAAACGGATTCCGTGTTGTGTTTTCAGACATGCAGGTAGTCTGCTTGTGTGTGCGTCGTCTTCACCCCTGGCTAGTCCCTCTCCCCAGCAGCGGCTGCTTTCACTGAGGTTGCTGTGCTGTTTTGTTAACGTCCACCGGTTCACCCTCCTGCGTTCTGCGTTTGTCCATGCGTGTCTGCTCGTGTGTACAGGTGCAGGCGTGTGTCCACATCCGTGACTGTCTTGGGCATCTCACCTCCACACCTGAACAAAGCCATCGATACCCTCTTGTTTGCGCTTTGTCTGTCCTGCTCAGTGTGACGTTCTCTAGCTGCACCCTTCCTGCAGATGATGTCATTTCACCTGTGTCATAGTCCATGTTCTCCTTTGCCACCTGTGCTGGGCACCTTGGCTGTGGCGAGCAGGGCTGCAGGGAATAGATACGCAGTTGTCTTGCTGGTGTATTGATTGACTGCCCAAGAGAGGTGCTGTGCGGTCTAAGGAAGGTCTCAGTTTTTAGGAACCTCCGTGCTGAACTTTACGTTCCCACTAACAGTGTGCATTCTTGCCAGAATTTCTTGACTGGATGGTTGCAGTTCTGACTAGGGTAGAATAGAAAGTTAGGATTTTGATTTGCATCTCCTCTGTGGCTAAGGATGTTGAACCCTTTTCTTTCCCCCAGTCTTGGGGCTTGAACTCTGGGTCTGAGTGCTGTCACCGAGCTACTTTTGCTCAAGGCTAGCACTCTTACCACTTGGGCCACTTCCTACTTTTTCTGTAATTAATTGAGGATAAAAGTCTCACGGACTTCTGGCCCGAGCTGACTTCAGATCACAATCCTCAGAGGTCCGCTCTCGGTGGTGTAGCTGGCAGAGGTGGTCTGCCTTTGTGTAGGTTGTCTCTGGGTTCCGGTGACTGTTTCGCTGGGTGGAAACTCTAATCTGATAAAGTCCTCCTGCAGTTCCGGCAGCCATCCTCCGGGCAGCCGGAATCACTCAGGAAACACTTACCAGGGCCTTCCGAGGCTTCCCTGCCTCCCATGGAGCGCTTTGGACCTGTTTTATTTGTATTGGGTGGGACCCCGGATCCAGTGTTGGTTTGCTGCAAACGGGCACCCCGGTTCCAGCACCATTCATTGAAGGGGTTGTCTTTTCTCTAGTGTATGTTTTTGGTTCCTCTGCTCAAAAATTAGCCAGCAGTAGCTCTGGGTCTTCTACTCTCTTCCATTGACCTCCCGTCTAGTTTTTGTGCTGGTACCGAGCTGAGTTGTTCGCTGTGTAGCATAATTATAAGTATGGTACTGTGAGGCCTCCAGCACCGCTCTTGTTACTTAGAATAACTTGTCACTGTTTGGGATGTTTTATACCACTGTGTTTGGGGATTGGCTTTAATTCTGTCATGAATAATGCTGGGATTTGGATGAACCCGGAATCAGATCTATAGATTGCTTTGGGTATTATGGCTACGTTATTTGTGTGGGAAGATCTTTTCATCTTTGGTATCTTCAGTTTGTGTTCTGTGCTGGGTCTTGTGGGCATGTTGTCCTTTAGCTTTTTTACACTTCCACTTGAGCCACAGTGCTACTTGTGGCTTTTTGTTGGTTACTTTAGCAGTCTCAGACTTTCCTGCCTGGCTGGCTTCCAACTGCAGGTGTCAGATTTCAGAGCCTCTTTTGAGTAGCGAGGATTAAAGTTATGAGCCATTCTACCCAGCTTTCTTTCAGGGTTTTTGGTTTGTCTAAGGGCTTGTACTTGGGGCCTGGGTCCTAACCCTGATCATTTTTGCCGAAGGCTGATGTTCTAGCCCTGGAGCCACAGCTTCACTTCCAGTTTTTGGTAGTTAGAAGTGAGAGTCTCGTGGATTTTTTTTTCCTGCCTGGGCTGGATTTGAGCCATGATCCTCCGATCTCAGCACCCTGAGTAGGTTGGATTTGGGTGTTGGCCACTGTGTTCTGGCTCCTTCCAGGTTTCATAGTTTTCATTGGCTTTCACTTCCTGGGTTAATACCTAGATGTAACTGTTTTTGAGTCTGTTGTTTTTCTGTTTTGTTTCTTGTTATTGGTATATAAAAGCTACTGGGTTTTGGCTATTGGTTTCATACGCTGGTTCTGAACTTTTTTGGGGGAGTCTATGGGACTCAGAGAGTCAGATCATCTGCTCTTAGGGACGTCTTCCTTCACAACTTTAATTTCTTTTTCTCTTTTACTGCTCTTATACCTGACTTAAGGGACAACAGTTCCACTTTTTTTCTCCACTTAATATACAAGTGGCTATAGGTATATACAGCCTTTATTAATTTCAGATACATTCCTCTATTCCTAGTTTCTTCAGAGACTTTAACATAGGAGGTTGTTGAATTTTCCAAAGGCCTTTTCTGCATGGTTGAGACGGTCGTGTGGCTCGTTCTTGATTCTTTTTCGTGATGTGATACATTTAGTGACTTCTGTATTTTGCACGTGCATGCCTGCAGTGGACCACCGTGGGTGTGGTATACGATCTGTTTAATGTGGTGCTGTGGAATTCAGTTTGCAAGGATTTTGTTCAGCATTCATCAACTTGCTTCATAGAATGAGTATTCATTAGTGTTCCCTATTGTTTTTCAGGCTAGATAGTGGGGAATTCTGTGAAAACTTCACGAAATTCCCCTGCAGATTGACTCGTCTTGGGGTTCCTTCATTTCTGCCCTAATTTCCACTATTTTTCTGTGCCGGGCACTGGTGGCTCACCCCTGTAATCCTAGCGACTCAGGAGGCTGAGATCTGAGGATCGTGGTTCAAAGCCAGCCCAGGCAGGAAAGGCTGTGAAAATCTTACCTCCAGTAAACTACCAGAAGTTGCGCTGTGGCTCAAGTAGTAGAGTGCTTGCTTTGACCTGAAGAGCTCAGAGGCATCACTCAGGCCCAGTGTTGAAGCCCTATGACCAACAAAAGAAAAAGGAAACTACTCCGGTGTGGCTGGTTCCTGGCCTGTGCTCACGGCAAAGGTTCCCAAGTGCAGGGCTACGCAGCCTCCTCTAGCAGCCTCTTGGTGGCCGGGGCAGTAGGCCCAGGCCTCGCTGCCTGGCCCCTTGCGGTACTGAGATGCTCTGCGGCCACACACACCTAAAAAACACCCTGGTTTCCCAAAATGGCAGCGCGTCTGAGTCTGTGTCAGACTGCTTTACTGAATGTAATTTATTTCCTGCAATGTTTTTTTAATTACAGCTATTTTTCAATGTAAGTTGTTCATAATTGTACTCTGGGTTGTTTTTCCTTCAGAATTTAGTAAAATCTATGACGCGCTGGACATCTCTTTAATCGAGAGGGGAGAATCCTTTTACCAGGACAGGATGCCAGTTGTTGTGAAGGAGCTTGAGGATAAAGGTAGGCTGTGGGGGGTGTGGTCTGACGCAGGTCCTACTGTGTGTCCCAGCTGCGCTCCAAAGCCCATGAGCTTCCTGATCCCACCGCAGCCCCCTGCCAGCCCTTACAGTGTCTCTGAACTCTTCAGCACAGGCACGAGTGGAGAGGACTCGTAGTGAGCCCCAGTGCACATCCCCCGCCCTCAGCCCATCAGTTAGGACCGCGGGCTGGCCCTTGTCTGTATCGCCCCCTTTTTTTTTTCTTTTCACGAGTCCTGGGGCTTGAACTCAGGGCCTGGGCGCTGTCCCTGAGCTTCTGTTTTGGTCAAGGCTAGCGCTCTACCCCTTGAGTCACAGCCCCACTTCCGGCTTTTTCTGTGTATTTGGTACTGAGGCATCGAACCCAGGGCCTCACGCGTGTTAGGCCAGTGCTCTACCGCTGAGCCGCCTTCCCGGCCCCACCTCCTACATCATTGACCGGCGTTCCTGCTGTTCTGCGCTAGGGTTTGTGCAGGTGGACGAGGGCAGGAAGATAATGTTTGTCCCGGGGTGCTCCGTACCCCTGACCGTCGTGAAGTCGGACGGGGGCTACACCTACGACACCTCGGACCTGGCTGCCATCAAACAGAGGCTGCTGGAGGAGAAGGCGGACATGATCATCTACGTGGTGGACAGCGGGCAGGTATGTGGCAGAGTGTGGCCCTGGAGGGCTGGCCAGGCCTCCCACGCACCCAGATGTGCAGCCGTCCAGTGTCCCTGGGGACAGTGCGGGAGGGGCGGGACTCAGCTGCTCTTCCCCTCCTAGAAACACCTGAGCTGAGCTTTGCTTTTTTTTTTGGGGGGGGGGTCCAGTCGTGGGGCCTGAACGCTGGGCCTGGGCGCTGTCCCTCAGCTCTTCAGCTCAAGGCTAGTGCTCTACCACTTGAGCCACAGTGCCACTTCTAGCTTTTTCTGCTTATGTGGTGCTGAGGATTTGAACCCAGGGCCTCATGCATGCAAGGCAAGCGCTCTACCACTGAGCCACCTTCCCAGCTCACATTTGCTTATTTTTAAGCTGGGATCTCACTCATTCTAGTAATGTAGCCTAGGCTGAGCTGTGAGTCAGAATCCTCCTCCCTCAGCCTCTCCAGTGCCAGGACAACAGACACAACTTGTTTTTATTTACTCATTTATGCGCTTTTCCACTGGTGCCTGGGATTGAACCTGGAGCCTGGCGCGTGCTAAGGGACTGCGGTGTGCGGTGGGCTGGCGGGGCCCAGGCTCCGCGCCGACGCACCAACCGTGAGCCAGCACCCAGCTCTGGGTTCAGAGCCGCCCTCACTCACACCCGCCTCCCCGCTCTCCCCAGGCTGTGCACTTCCAGACGGTGTTTGCAGCTGCTCAGATGATGGGCTGGTACGACCCTCAGGTGACCCGCGTGACCCACGCCGGCTTCGGCGTGGTGCTTGGCGAGGACAAGTAAGTGGGCCCCCACGCCTGGCACCAATTGCAGGTAGGCCCGCCCTCTGGAAAGCGCTCCAGCTGTCTGTGTGCTGCTGGAGCTGCCATGGCCGAGGCACCAGGCGGCGGCGTGTGGTGTGAAGGGGCGCAGCGGCTAACGCGAAGCTGCGCTCTAGGAAAGTAAGCCAGCCAGAAACGGCTGTTTGCTAGAGGCTGGCTGAGGCGTGGGCAGAGAGCGGAGTCTAGAAGGATGGACATCAGACCTGTTCCCGGGAGGTCGGGTCCCGAGTCCAATCGACGGGCGTCTGTGTTTTCAGGAAGAAGTTTAAGACACGCTCCGGTGAAACGGTGCGCCTTACAGACCTTCTGGAGGAGGGGCTGAGGCGCTCCATGGACAAGCTGAAGGAGAAGGAGCGGGACAAGGTAGGGCCCGGCCTCGCCCTGCAGCTGGCTTCCTCGCTCACACCAGACCAAGGCTGCGCTTTGCAGCCAGCTCCACACACGGGGGTTGAGAGCCTGTAGTGGGAGCGTGCCTGGCACGGCGGGCTGACGCACGGGGACGGAAATGGAGCCTGTGACCTGTGCCCCTACCGCACCGACGGTCCCCTCCCTGGGCCTCAGCCTCAGAATTCAAGTGAGGTTCTGCTCCTTGGTGTGTAAATCAGTCTTTTTCTCCTTCTAACTGGAGAACTCCATCCACATTCCAGGTAATTAGTGGGGAGCTGGGTCTAACTACAGCCATTTCATAGTTACTGTTTTTTGTCCATCGTGGGGCCTGAACTCTGGGTCTGGGTGGTGTCCCTCAGCTCTTCAGCTCAAGGCGAGCGCTCTACCACTTGAGCCACAGCGCCACTTCCGGCTTTTTCTGCTGATTTGGGGCCTCATGCATGCCAGACAAGCACTCTGCCATGAGCCACCTTCCCAGCCCTCATGGTTTTTGCTCTACTTTGTCTCTGTTCTTCTTTGGGGTTGGGTAACGTAGTCTGGCTGTGTAGCCGAGGCTGAGGCCATCTCTCGTCGGGTGGTTGTTTTTGGCTGGGGTGTGGCGGGGAGTCTTGAGGCGCGGCTCTGCCCTGCCAGGTCCTGACGCCCGAGGAGCTGCGGGCTGCGCAGAGCTCGGTGGCCTACGGCTGCATCAAGTACTCGGACCTGTCCCACAACCGCCTCAACGACTACGTCTTCTCCTTCGACAAGATGCTGGACGACCGCGGGAACACGGCCGCCTACCTGCTGTACGCCTTCACGCGCATCCGGTAGGCCTCCCAGAGGCCCCAGAGGCCCTGCTCTGGAGGGCCCGCCAGCCGTGGAAGGTCACGCCCGGATGCCGCACCCGCGCATTCCCCTAACCCCAGCCCCGCGGGCACGCGGCAGCGCCCAGCCCTGCCCCCCAGACAGAGCCCCCACTTGCCTTGGCCGCAGGTCCATCGCGCGCCTGGCCAACGTGGATGAGCACACGCTCCAGAAGGCCGCCCTGGAGACCAAGATCAGCCTGGAGCACGAGAAGGAGTGGCGGCTGGGCCGCTGCCTCCTGCGCTTCCCCGAGGTCCTGCAGAAGACGCTGGACGACCTGTTCCTGCACTCGCTGTGCGACTACCTCTACGAGCTGGCCACGACCTTCACCGACTTCTACGACAGCTGCTACTGCGTGGAGAAGGACCGGCAGACCGGTGAGGGCCCAGATCTCGCCTGCGGCTGGGGCGCGGTGGGGAGGGGCTCCGGGGCACAGGCCGACCCTCACCCCCCTCTCTCTCTCTCTCTCTCTCTCCAGGCGCCGTACTGAAGGTAAACATGTGGCGGTTACTGCTGTGCGAAGCCACGGCCACCGTCATGGCCAAGGGCTTCGACATCCTGGGCATCAAGCCCGTGCAGAAGATGTGATCCTCCCGCCGGTGCTGGCTGCCTGGTCCTGAAACACAACAATCATGTAGATAGAACTTAGCAAAGACTATTTCTCAGCCATCTATGCAAATGTAATTCTTTCACATCTATTTCTAACAATAAAAAGAAAATCGACTTTCACAAGTACACCTGTTTGTTTTTGAGCAATACCCCTGCAAGGCCGTGGGGGGGGGAGCCCCCCCCTGCACCCTGCTCCAGTGGAGACCCTGTCTCCACCACAGTGCCTGGCTGAGCACAGGGCCGGCGGGAAGCACCACACCGGCCAGAGTGAGAGCCAGCTCAGCCTGGACGGCCGCGTCCCACAAAACCACCCGAGACAGCAGCGTGGCGAGACGCAGTCACAAAGCCACCCGAGACAGCAGCGTGGCGAGACACAGTCTTGTAGTCCTGGCACTCGGGTCTGGGCTACACAGCAACACCAGTACTCCCAGTTAATAATCCTGATGCACAACACTACCTGGACTGCCTTACAAAATCTGAAGGCTGATGCCAAAAGACCCGAATAGTAACTCAAAATCCACACGCAGAACACCAGGTTGGCCATCTCAAGAATACATAAGGAAGGGCGAGCTGGGCGCCTTGGTTCAGTCCTGTCTCCTGGAGATCTGAGGACTTCCGTTCAGAGCCAGCCAGGAAGGAAAGGTCACGAGACAGACTCCTACCTACAGCTGGTCAAAAAGCCAGAAGTGGGACTGTGTCTCCGGCGATAGAACAGCAGCCTTGAACACAAACCTCAGGGACAGCGCACAGGCCCTGAGTTCAAGCCCCAGGACTAGCACCCAAAAAAAAAAAAACCACTTGCGAAGCTGGACTAAGATGGCCATAGGGCTCAACCAAGCAGAGGGGGCTTTGCGTTGGGCCACAAGGACCTGGGGTAGAGAACAGCACCAATACCTGGGTGCCAGACGGAGGCCACAAAGCCACAGACACCGTGCTGGAGACGAGGACCACCGAGCCCGGCTCGGCAGGAAGCCGCTTGTCCCATGCATCTGCAGAGGAGAGCTGCGACTGGTACTCAGCAACAGCAGCCCCCAGGCCTAGCCGTGCTGGCGGCTCACCCCTGTGACCCTGGCTACCGCGGAAGCTAAGATCTGAGGTCTGTGGCTCGAAGCCAGCCAGCCTGAGTAATCACCAAAAAAAGCCAGAAGTAGAGCTGTCATGTTCAGGTGGCAGAGCACCAGCCTTGAGTACAAAGACTCAAGGATAGTGCCCAGGCAGGCTCTGAGTTCAAACCCTGGGCCTGGCACAAAAATCACAGGGGGCTGGGAAGGTGGCTCAGTGGTAGAGTCTTGTCTCGCATGCATGAGGCCCTGGGTTTGATTCCTCAGCACCACAAGAGCTGAAAAAGCCAGAAGTGGCGCTGTGGCCCAAGTAGTAGAGTGAGCTGGATAGCTAAGGGACAGTGCCCAGGCCCTGAGTTCAAGCCCCAGGACTGACCCAAAAAAACAAAAATCATCACATTGCTGCCCCAAAGACACACCTGAACCAAAGGGCGAACTCAGGTTCCAGAAATGCGCACACATCTGCAGCCCACTACAAAATGATGCCACACAATGTAAACTTGCAAACAGACAGCATTGGGCACCGCAGCTCAGGGATAGAGCCCAGGCCCCGAGTTCAAGCCACCAGGACCAGCAAAAATAAAGGAAAAAGGCTAGGGGCGTGGCTAAGAAGGGGCCTAGCAAGCCAAGACCCCGAACTCAAACCCTCAATACCACCGAAGTAGAGGATTGGTAAAAACTCAGACAAGGCTGGGGGAGCTCATCCCCACTGCACGTGAGGAAAAAACACCTGCAGCAGGATGGTTAAGAGGCGTGAGGTAAGGCCGCGGACACTGAGGAGTTGCACAGAAACAAATGGAAGAAGACAGTGGTCTGGGTGACACTGTAGTGCTGGCTACTCAGGAGGGCGAGAACTGAAGGACGGTGCCCAGGCCGTAGCTCACGCTCCAGTACTGGCACACACACACACACACAAGTGAAGATCAGTGTAAAAGTGAGGATGCCAACCGTGTGGCGCGGAAAGTCAGAGCCCACCACCAGCATCTACAGCAGGCAGGCTCAGTGGTGCATGCCTGTCATCCCAGCCACCTGGGTTGCGGAAGTAGATCACAACTGGAAGCCAGCCCACAAGGAACTAAAAACCAAAGGACTGGGGTCCTGGCTCCTGGGAGTCACCAGGCCTGAGCTCAATTCTCAGTGTCACCGAACAGCCAGTCGCACTTGTTTGCTAAGTAATACAACAGGACCAAAGTACAACACTGAAAACAAACAGGAAGAGGATAGAATAGTAAAGAGTTATTCCTAAAGGGTAAACCAGACCCAGGCACTGGCGGCACACGCAGCCCACAATGCCTACCAACCAATCTCAGCTCGAGGCTGAGATCTGAAGATTCTGGTTCAAACCCATCCCAGGTAGAAAAACTCATGAGATTCTTTTCTCCAATTAACAATAACAAAAGCCACAAGTGGAGCTGTGGCTCAAGTAGTAGAGAACCAGCCCAGAGCAGAGAAACAACAACAACAAAGCTAAGGAACATCGCCAGGCCCTGAAGTCAAGCTCCAGGACTGACTGGTGAAGGAGTGGAGGCGGCCACTCCATGCAATGGAGACCTAGGACGGCAGAAGGGCTGGCAGGGTGCCGGCAACTCACGCTTGTCATCCTGTCCACTCAGGAGGCTGAGATCTAAGGATCACGGTTCAAAGCCAGCCGGGGCAGGACGGTCCATGAGACTCTTAGCTACAATAAACCACTCAGAAAACTGGAAGTGGCGCTGCGGCTCACGTGGTAGACCGCTCTCTTTGAGCTGATGGACAGCACACAGGCCCAGATTTCAAGCCCCATGACCAACTAGAAAAAGCTGGGTGTGGCGGCAGCTGCCAGTAGTCCCAGCCCTGGGATCAGCCAGGGCTGCAGTGCCAGACCTGGCTTGGGAGACTAAAACCACTCCCTCCCCCACCACACCACACACCCAAAATAACAACAAGCTATTTTATACAACAACAAAGCAAGAGGAAACAGGGATACACCTGTATGCACTCAAAACCAAAGCGCTCCCAAGCACCAGCCAGCGTTAACAAGGTCCAGGGGAGACCGCCGGCGGCGCCGTAATGCCGGATCATCCAGACAGTGGAGAAACACGAGCTCGCTCCACGCCACGGCCAGTGGACCCGACGGCCTTCACAGTGCCCGAGTTCTTGCTGACAGCTGGCACTCCGCCACCTGAACCATGCCTCCCACTTGGCATTTGCTGGTTAACTGGAGAGAAGCGTCTCTTGGATTCATTTGCTCAGCTTGGCCTCCAAGTATAAGCCCCACCTGCCCACTGGTAGGACTCAGCAAAGGAGAGAAAACCACACTCACTGCTCCTGGTGGAAACCACATTGCCACAGCCACTGTGGCCCAGGCAGCAGGTGTCTCGGGTAAACCAGGTGGAGCCGTCTTTAATCCCAGCCAATCCCACTCCTGGGCTTCTACCCAGAGGAAGCGCCGTCGGCCTGTGTGGGAGACGTCCACGCTCCCCCCGCATCCAGCATGCTGCCACCAGCACCAGCCTAGCTACTCAGGAAGCTGAGATCTGAGGATCACGGTTCAAAGCCAGCCCAGGCAGGAAAAGTCTACGAGACTCCTCTCCAATTAACCACCAAATAGCCAGAAGTGGAGCTGTGGGCTCAAGTGGTAAAACACTAGCCTTGAGCAAAAAAAGCTCAGGGACAGTGGCCAGGCCCTGAGTTCAAACCCCAGACTGACTGATTCTCTCTCTCTCTCTCTCACACACTCACAAAATAAAAGCTGACTTCTTTGTAAGTCTTCCCCAATTGTTCCCACAATGCACACAAAATGTCAGTGGACAACTAGACAAAAAACTGAGAAAGAAGAACAACATGGGAAGGCCCACAATTTCCAACTGCAAAAATTACTACAGAGAGCCGGGCGCTGGTGGCTCACGCCTGTCATCCTAGCCAAGGCTGAGATCTGAGGATCGAGGTTCAAAGCCAGCCTGGGCGGGGAACTCTGTGAGACTCTTATCTCCAATGAACCACCAAAACAAAACAAAAAGCCCTAAGTGGAGCTATGGCTCAGTGGTAGAGGCCTAGCTTTGAGCAAAAAACAAAAACTCAGGGGCAGGACCCAGGCCCTGAGTTCAAGCCCCATGACTGACAAAAAGAAATCTAAAATCTTTTAGGGATCAAGCAAAGGAATATACACTACCAAGAAAGGAGAGTCGGGGCCCGGATGTAATGGAGACACGCTAGTGTTAAAGAGATTGAGTTCAAGGTGATCCAGGCCAAAAATTCATGAGACCCCTATCTCAATTAATAAAAAGCTGGGCATGAGCTGGGCGCTGGTGGCTCACGCCTATAATCCTAGCTAATCAGGAGGCTGAGATCTGAGGATCGAGGTTCAAAGCCAGCCCGGGCAGGAGAGACCATGAGACTCCTATCTCCAATAAACCACCAGAAAACTGGA